TCTTTACTAATATATAAAGCTGTAAGCGCATTTTTTTTGTGTACAACAAACTCAATAACTATTGGTTCAATTTTGAACGGATTTTTTTTTTTGTGTTTCTTATGATCATGTGAATGTTGTAGGCATAAATTTAGACTGATAAAATTAGTAAATAATAGTTATTAATAATTAAAATAAACGTGTAAATTGCATAAATATACCCATGTGGTGTGGTGGCCTGCGGATCTCCAGTTACCTACACATCTGACCTTGTCCATCAAAATATATATTTGATAATATCTGTGTGTAGATATCAGTTGTTTTGAGAAATTTATCGATAATATAAATATAAATGGAAAAATATAAATCTGTGTCACTTATGTCGTAACGATATGGGGTATAACGATGTTAATTTTAAGGACCCGGCAAAATTCCGTTTATTTATACATACAAAATAATTTGTTATAACGACATTGGACTTAATGACAATGATATGACAATAATACGATTTAAAAATCGGGCTGCAAAACACATTTTAATCGTATTTAACGACTATATATTATTATTTTCACAATTGATTGTCTATTATTATTGGTGTGATTACCTAATAGATAGGGTACCTTCATACAGTTATTATTAGTGGCGCGAATTAGGCTAAATTGTTAGGGTTGCAATCAGTTTCTAGGTTGTATAAACTTGTGGGGGGCTAAGCTCCCCACCCCCCTTAATCCTTATATTGTTTTATTTTATTCTAAATTTAACATCACAAGTACATAAACTCAACAAAACTAATTTAACTTTAAACATTTATTGTATCTATTGGTAATTGGTACCTATATAATATTATGAATTTACAATATAAATAGGATATATAATAATTACTTACCGTCAATAAAATATGTGTAATTTTCTTAAACCATATACAAATAGATAAAATACAAAAATACTTTATTTTATAAAATTGATACTTTAAATAACAATATTAGCTAAATACTCAAGAAATGTATTTGTGTAATCATCACTAACATAACGAAAGTCTCTTATTTTCTAACGTATGTTTTACGGTCACTTGACTGTTGTTATAGATGATACGGACTATAATTGTAAAAAAACAAATTTTAATTTAATTTGAAATGTATTAAGAAAATTGATTTGATATTTTAAGAATACAATTTACTATAAAATATGAATTGTAATTTAAATATTTTAAATTCAAATCATTTCTAGTTACTATAGGTATAATAATGTATATTACATAGTATATCATGATTGATAGCATGACTAAATATTTATTTGGTGAATTAGGTCAAAAAAAATTCTAGTATTATGTATTTTTTAATGTTTTCTGACCTTTTAGCCATTTTTTAATTAATTAATTTTAAAATTATTCATATTTCATGATTAGCAATGGTTTTATAACCTGTGTTAAATTTCCGATAATTTAAGATACTACAAGGGTATATACGATATAATACGGTATTTTACAAAAAAAAAAAATAAAATAAAATACAGTATTTGGTATAACTAATTATAACATAGTAGGACGTAGTTATTAAATAGGTCACTGGATATTCAAACATTATATAATGATTATTATTTATTAGCTGTGTACGAGTTGATTCCCGGGTACTTGATTACTTGCATTTATACCATTGAATTGATTTCCAGGTCATTAAGAGATACGTAGGAGTTGATCCACGAGTCATTATATATTATTTTCAATATTTATTCACATATTCAGCCTTTAGCATAACCCAAGAAACACTACGAGGAGGTTGGCTGAAAAGTTTCTCAAAAATGTTGTTCTTTTTAGTGTTTTCAGTTTTTTATTTATTAATTATTTATTGTATTATATTATGTTTATTATTTATTAAAAAAATTTAGTAATTAGATAAAAAATTTAAAAGAAATTAGTAATTTGGTAAAAAATGTATAACACATTGTTTTTAAAAATTTGTATCTAGCAATAAGATTATCAATATACCGCAACATCACTTCTCTTAAGAAAATTGTTTTTTCTTCGTTTTTCTTAGATTTCATAGTTTCATTGCTCCTGCATTTTATATTGATATATAACAATAGGAAATCAACTAGTACATATCTTTTAATGATCAGAGAATCAACTCATACATACCTCTTAATGGCCCGAAAATCAACTCGTACATAAAGTAGATCTCGGGAACTAACTCACTTATACCGCATTTACTACAGATCCATGAGCTATTTCTTTAAAATGGGAATTAAATGCTTATCATTATTCATTAAAAACATGATTATAGCTGATTTCTGGTTGGCTATTAGCAATAATGATGATTAACGATATCTTACAATACGTAACATTTTCAATCATATTTAGCTACTTAGCATCAATCAGTATATGGACTACAAGCATCAATCATAATAATTTAAAATGCTTAATGAATCAAATCTATGATAAATATTTAATAATATATTAAGTATAGTAAACTCAAAATAAATATTTACAGATAGATAGAAAATATATTTACAAATTAAATTGCAGTTAATCATGTAAAATTGATTTTAATTCTTCAAAATGTTCTGTTTTAATTAAAATAATTATTTAACCAAATATTACTGATAGTATATAGTTTTTATTTAATTTTGACTTTATAGACAAATATTTTATCATACAATATTATAACTTATCATTGAATAAACTTACTTAATATTTAATACTTCTTCAAAATATATTGTATTGAAAGTAACTAAAATCAGTAAGTATATTGTTGTTCTTAAGTTTTTTTTTTAAAAACGTATAAGTTTAATAGTATTTGTTTTCGATGTTTTTGAACGCTTGAGTAATTACTTCCCGCTGAGTAGTTATAACTGAATAAAATTACTTAACATCAAATCTGTCATCACAAAGGTCAAAGATAATACATAACAAACTTAATCATTGTAAGATAAATATAACAATATATTGATTGTATGTGTGTGTGTAGATAAGTTCATTATAAGCAAGGCCGCGTTAACCCAGGTGCAAAAGGAGCATTTGTTCCTGGCGGCAAAAAATTTAAACCAACTATTTAAAAAAATACAATGTAACAATGATTTTTTATAAATATTTTTTTTTTAGTCAAATATATAAGAAAATTTTAAAAATAAGTTTAAATCATTTCAATATTAACTTTATATTTTTTATTAAAACTCTGCTTATAACATTGTAAATTGTCTAATTCCTGTAATAAGAATTAAACGATAAACGTAATTACACGAATCATACATTTACCAACACCTTACACTCTAAAAAAGAGGTAATACTAGTTTTTTACCAAAGTAAAAATTACGGCTGAGGGCCATAAAAGAAAAAAAAATTTATATTTTTACTATTTTTTATGCTCATAGTTTTCGTCCAATACATCTTATGGTGTATATAAAGTTTCGAAATTCAAAACTTATTCTTTCAAATAGATATCGCATGCAACGTGGTTTTCTTAAAAATACGGTTTTTCGGAATCTATTGGGTTAAATTTTTCGAAAATCATATAAATTATTACATAAATAGGTAAAGCGACAGTGCATCAAACATTTTAGCCTATTTCTAACGACCTTTCTAACGTCTTATTAATTAAAAAATCTTAATACCTACTTGATTTAAAAAAAAAAAATCTTGCAAAAAGCAACAGTGAGCCATTTTTGAAAAAATTGCGTTGTTTTCCTTATTTTTTGGGCTTTAACATCTAAAATTAAAAAAAAAAAAATATCAACTTTACATAATATTGATTTTTGAGCCTTGATGAAATTAATTTCACTGGGATTGAAAAAAATGAAAACTAAAATTTTTTTAGTAATTATTGGCATTATTGATTTTCCATTAAATACAAGAATGGAAATGTATAATGATAGTACAAAATTTATACATAACTGACAAAACCCTAAAAAAAATTCCAGCTCTTTAACTAATTTCCCGTCGACCCATGATTAATAACACGGGTATTAGTTGTTTTATTTGCACAATAAACGAACTCCGAAATAGCTCGCGCCCTCTGGCAGTTCACTTCGCGTTGGGTGGATGCGTTAAAGCTATTTCGCTAGACTTCGTACCATATTTTAACGGAGACCTATACACGGATAATAATTCGTTTGTTATTATCTGCCCATTAATTAAAATGAACAGGAAGTAATTATTTATCTTTTTTAGGTACTACCTAATTGATAGTTTAATTTTTGTTTTTTAAATACTAAACTAGGTAATTTATTTATAAAAAATGTTGTACTTACACATATCAAATCAGATAATTGTTCATATATTTTTATGTTAATTCAAACTTTCAAAGTGAAATATCTAGTTGGCTACATTACTATTTAGTTTTTATAATAATAATTAGATTAGTTTTAAGCTAAAATACTATTTATACCTACCACAAATACAGACATGTCTATAAATATTGTTATATTGTTATATGCATTGACTTAATATTAAACAATAGCTAATTACATTATTTTATATTGGACAGAATAATAACCATAATATAATAATCTAATATTATTAGATAGTATAATGTATAAGATTTGTTTTTGGAAAAAACTAATTCAATTTACTGCATACTACTAATAAAAAAATAAATCACAGCTGGGGAATTTTATGTTTTTTCAAATTTATTGTATTTAAAATTTGGCAGATAACGTATGGATAAATATTTTTTTATTATAATATACTGCATCTACAACTCTAATTTCCATATTAGCATTATGGTAACTAGTAAACTCTTCGATCGCGGTATAGGTACCGTTTACAGCAGGTATTTAGAGATGCCTTACGCATCCACATAAACGTTATAAATTATTAAAATAACGTGAGTGACAAGTGTGTAAATGATAGATACAGACGTGTATACACTGATCATTTTTTAACATATTTGTTTAAATATAATAACATTTCAATATGGTTCATTCATTAACATGCATAATGTTATATGAGTATATGATATATATTTTTTTTAAACTATACGTATTCTGTTACACTTAAAAAGTTTAGTTTCCATTTAGCTATTATCCACTCATGTTGTGACGTTTATATTATTTTTGATTTCCATAACACTATTAACAATTGGGGTTGTTGTGATATTATTGAAAACTAATGAAGGTTGCAAAGAAGATCCAAAAAACTGTATTAAAAAGATTATGTATGCCATCAGTAATCCAAAACCCTAAGAAAAAAAAAATAGATAAATATAGTGTTACACATTTATTGATATCCTATATTACCTATATATATTATTATAACATAGATATTATATTAATTTATAAATTATTATTATATTTAGTTAGGTACTTACTGCATAAAAGAATGCTATATTAATATTTATCATTCCGTATATTTGAAATTTTGAAGTTACTGCGTCTAATTGATTTTGAAATAGAATGATCTAAAATACATTTACGGTTAAGAAAATTGTGATTAGTAAATAATTATCAAAATACTAAAATAGTTTTATATAAAAGTAAAATCAAATATTTTTTGGTATTAAACGTTTATAATCATGATTAAATATTTTTATCTATTGATTATTGTTTTACTAGTGATAATAATTTATTCCTACACAATAAATTAACAATATATTTTTAAAGGTCTCTTATTATCATCAAAAAAACTTAAATTAAAATGTGTTCATATAATTATTAAACTTATTAAGAAGACATGTCACATATGTAAAGAAATCAAAAATTAAAAGAGTTTAAATTTTATAAAAAGAAAGTGTTCGCTGTATTATTACTGCTGACAATAATTATAATTTTTTAATTATTTTTTTGACAAATCTATTTTTCGATAATTTGCCTTCCATTTTTTTTTTATACCGAGTCAATAATATTATATCACATATCTACATTCTGCTTTAATTTTATACTATTATACGATTCAATTATATCATTAATGAATTAATGAGCTTTGAAGTAAAGGTAATTAATTTTTAGTATAGTGTATTAATGTAGGTAATGTTATAACTTGTATCTAGAGATGTAAACTTAATTAACTTTTATTAAACTTAAGAAAATTACGATTTAATTATTTTTCTTTAAAAACTTAAAATTGAATACCTCGGGCATTAATCTCCTGCTAGTGACTGGATTTAATGTTAATGTAAGCCAGCTCAATGAAATCCGTATAGGCATAATCTATATAATATTTAAATTATTATGTTTATTAATCATTGTAAATTTTAATATTAAGTAAATGTACTCTGTAAAATTAAATTAAATTAAATACAAACTTAAATTCTAACATAATTAGGTTACACATTTCTACAGTATGTCAACCTATTAAGCTTTAAAATATTAATTATTAATATTATTTTATTTTGTTTTTATTATTAAATAAACATACATTCATACAAACCATAAAGATTGAATACAACGGGTATTTACTTAACTATTAATAACTTAGTAAGTACAAAAATATAAACTTATGAACGTACTTATAAATAAGGTTGGGATTTTGAAGCATTAGCATCTAAAAAAGCTTAAATAATATCAAAGTAAGTATAGTAAGATATTTTTGAATTTTAACCTGGTTATTTTAACAATATCGGTTATATAATTTTATGAATTAAAAATATAATTACAATTTTTATAATAAAATCATATTTATTGTAACACAAGATAAAATAAAATATTTGTTTAACGATTTTGTGGACAATGATTGCATTTTCGGATTTAATAATTTTCCACTCTCGGGGGTCGGTTTTATTATGTTAATATTCGTACCTACTTGACTGAAAATTGTGTGAGTCTTTAATAAAATATTTCTATTTTTATTTTTATATATTATACATTTTATACTATTTGTGTGTAATATAAGTAATTATTAAATAAATAATGTTTTTAAATTGATAATATTATGTAATGAAAAAATGTCTACTATTTTTTGTATTTTTTATTGCATGCTTAGCAATTTTTAAATGCTATAAAATCCCAACTCTGATAATAATTTGGTCATTGCGAAATATATTTAATCAATACTATGGTTTAAAGTAATCATTTTTCTCAATCTCTCTAGGAGAAGTATAGTATCCTTCTCCCGTCTCCGCTTTGGCCACACCCTACTTCCTTCTCATTTCTTCTAACTTCCATTAAATTATTCTCCTCTCTGTACACTTTACAATGACCCAATGATTTGTGACATAACCCACCTCATCTTCAACTGCCTCAGCCTTTCACTCCAACATAACAACTAGTATCTCTTTTCAACACCTCCAATATTCCTTTTAACATCAAATATATTCTCTCTTGTCAACAAAAAACCATCATTAATAAAATACTTTTTTTTTAACCATACAGGTTTTTTAATTTAAGTTTTTCTTGTTCTTTTTTTTCTCTTTTTTTCTCTTTTATTATTTTTTAATAATTCATACATTATATTACTCGTGTTTTAATCTTGTTTGTTAACATTTAATTGTTGAAACTAATTGTAATTAAAAAGTTTAAATAAAAAAGAAAAAAGAAAAAAAACATATATATTTTTTTTTTTTTTAGCGTAAAATGTAGATAGTTATCTTATTATATTTATGTATTATTAATCGATATTATAAACAATCTATGGGAACTTCAAGGATATTGGGGTATCAATAGACACTTTTTAAATAATGACAATACCAATGCGTAAAGAATAAAAACCAATTACACGATTGAGTCACAATGTTATTCATAGTTAAAATAATATTTCACTACATTTTCTTACGTATTATTTACTGAGTATAAAAAGATAATATCAAAGAAATTATATACTATTGATGAACAGTAAAAGATCACTATTAAAAAAAGTTAAAATTAAATAATAAGAAAAACATATTGCTAAAAATTAAAAATGAATTATTGCATCGCTCTGGTACTAAAATGATATTAGTGCACACCAAATGACGTTTAGTGTATTAGGTATAAGATTTTTCTAAAGGGTTTTATAGTAAATGAAGATTTGCTATAAAAACTAACAAGTCCACTTTTTAAAATATTTCTAGGATAAAAAAAAAAAGCACTTATGCTTTGATATATTTGTGGTAATTGACTGAATTATTATTATTATATTATACTCAGTATATTTGTCACGTATCCGCCGTCCACCCGACTAGATAACGAAATTATGAGTTATGACCGTTGATAAAGCATGGATCGAGCGATTGGCATGGTATCGAGCGAATTAAACTAATTTTTAGTGTAGTTGTGACTGCTGACGTGTCGTAATACAATAGGCGTAATAATAAAAGTTGAATTTGAAATATAAAAGCCTTTGTTTTATTTAAAAAACAAATTTCTGTTGCTGTTTGTACGCTCCGGTACACTTAATTGTAGTATCCATTTTTTTTTTTTTTTTTATTTAAAGTGTACAACATATTTTTTTTCTACGAAAAAAATGCATGGTATTATTCAAAACTATAGGTAATTTGACTTTAACCAAGATCTGGGATAATATACACAATATATGCACACAGATACTTATATTTACTTATTAATTTAACTTTTTTTTTAACAAAACGTCAGGTAAGTATTAACTTATCTTATTTTCTCATAAAAAAATATAAGTCCATTTACTATAAAAACTATAAACAAGCCAGGTTATTTATTTTAATTGTTAACATTTTAACGATATTATCAGAAGATTCAATTACCTTATTAAAGTAATAATCCAAAAAATAAAATAATTGCTGAATGTGGTAAAAAATAAATACTGGATTACTGAGAATGTTTGACTGGCACAATGCCGGAATATCAAGATTGTACTGTAGTTAAATTAATTTTAAAGTTTAAATGACAGATATTACTCGGGGCCATAGTGGTACCTCACAATTCACAAAATATTGGTTCACTTCTCCATTCATCAAAAATTTTAATAGTAGAAATATTCTAAATAATATTCTGCTCGTAAAAATGTATGTTGATATTGAAGAGTAAACAATTATAACGTTAAAAAATATTTTTTCTCAAACGTTGTTTTAGAATGACTAAAATTATTTAAAACAAAAGTTTTTTAAACGTTAATTTTTTCTGAAATAATTAGTGTCTTATTATATTCAAAATTTAAATGGATTATCTCGTTTATAACGAACTAATAATTTGAAAGTTGTTACACCTATTTGTAGGGATATATTTTCTTTGTTTTATTTAATTCATGAAAAATTACATTTTCGAAAAAAATAGATTCATCTGGTTTTTATAACAAATCTTTCAAATACTCATTTCATTTTGATTACAAATAAAAATATTTTAAATATTTTTGTATTTAGACATTGAATTGAATTCCATATCGACTCACTTATCTACATATAGTTAATAATATACATTATTACGCATGCTATAAATAATGTATAGGTGTTGCGCTTAGATCTCACCATTTTTGTGATGTAATATTCACACGAATGCAAGTACCACAACCGGACGATTCTCATTCCCCAATAGCCTGAGTACAGGACGGTGCTCTCGTAAGTAATCGTCGTGCGTTTGTCCCATATGACGTAAGTCAAATGGTACGTCACCTCAGACGTGTAGAATAGGATGCGAGTCACACTGTCGATCATGTTCAGTAGCAGCGGCAGTTGGAACGCGTGGTTGACGCGCAAAAACAGCTCAATCACCCTCAAGTGGGTGGATCTCAGGTGCCGGATGTCCGCCGCCTCAAACGCCGGTATGCCCAGGGGGACCGGATGTCCGACCGCGGGGTTCGCCCAACATCTCCACCGCGGGTGCTCGGCCTTGTGCACTAGATCCTGTACGTCCATGTGGATCCGTTTCAGCCGAACGCACAGTGTTAAGCACGTGATGTAGAAAAACTGTTCGACCACGATGCAGTCGATGTTTGATAGAAACGAAAACAGAGTTATGAAATACTGGCGATTGAACCTGCAGGTTTCGAGAAAAAACGTCCAAATAAAATATAATGTTTACTTCAAGAGTTTTTTTGTTTCTTTAACTTTTTTTATTCGTCACTATATTAAGTACATATTATACAACATACATCGGCTATATTTCCCCTCCCCCTAAAGTCCTATGTCGTCCATAATATTAGTGGATCATTTAAATGCGAATTTTTCGACAGTAATCCAAAAAAAAAAAAAATATCTATATACAATAAAATAATTAACATTTCGAATAATCAAATTTTGTACAATCATATTTTCTTATTTAACATATTATATATTTCTTAAAAAATTTGAAAAAAAATTATTATAATCAATAGTTACTTGTGTTAACAGGTCTTATTATTAACTATGCTTAGGTATAATAAGACATACACATGAGATGAGATACTCGTGATCACCGTAGTAAAGGGTGCCTATAAAATAAATGTCACGCAAAAATATAAAATGTACAAATAGTTATTAAATAAACTTCTGAACAACTAAATAGCTAGATATAGATCAAACCAGAGGTGAATAACCACAGTTCATAAGTCAATAATTAAATATAATCTTATACTTGATTCGATATAACCGACTATGTCAATCTATTAAATGTTCAAAGTACCTGTTTAATATTATGTAAAACTGTAAAAGTGTTTAAAATATAAAACAATAATAACAAATTTTTGTAAGATATATAAATTTGATTTTATATTTGTTTTTTAAATAAAATCTTAAAAAATTAAAATATGCAATTATTATATTATTACCGATATATTTTTATTTGGTGTACGAAAAACAATAATTCATAGGTTATGATTAAGTACGAGCAAAATCATGAACATTATATTAGAATATTTTATTTAAATAATTATTCAAATGATTTTTTTTTTTACAATTATCATTCGAGTAAAACATTATTTAAAGAATTTTCAAACGGATTATTTGAACAATTTTCGAACATAATTATTGTTTTTTCAAGATTTTTTGAATACTTTTTATTTATTTGATCAAATTTGTTTAAAACGATTTGAAAAAAAAAATGAATTTGAATCAAATTTTCTCAATATGATTATTTAAATAAAAATGTGTTCGAATAATCCACTATTCGAACTACGCACTCGGACAAAAGGAACAAAATCATATGCTAATACGTATTATGATATAAATCGTTTGGTCCTAATAACATTATATTGAATTAATAATCATATGTCAACCTAACCTCGAAATGCTGAGAACGTAGTAAATGCCAAACTCGTAGACGACGAACGCGATCATTGTGAACGCCCTAAACGGTGGCCAGACGTGGCCGCGGTGGACGTGCGGCCGGAGCAGACACTCGCCGATCAGAGCCACGACCGACGGCAGCATCATGTGCAGCTGGCACAGGGCGGCTGTCGCTGACGTGATGAACGACATGTACACGTACAGCTCGTAGACTTTCATCGGCGACGTGCTGGCCAGCTTCTTGTCAAGCGCCTGTCTGTTCCGCTGTTCGGTGTCGGTCGGGTACATCAGGAACAGCATCTTGATGACGGTCGTGGCGGACGACCAGAACAGCAACAAGTGCACGGCCTTCAGCGCCACACCGAACCAGTGCAGGCGGAACCTGTGCGGCGCAGACCGCGACACCGTGTACGGGAACACTCCCAGAGCGTAGCTGCATACCCGAAGCGGTCCGTAGAGCGGTGCTGCATCAGTCATCAATACAATCCGAAACGGTAATACTGTCGGTCGTCCCTTCGATGTATTTTATGGATATTATTATTGGAGCGTGGATATTGATGTCCTGGAAAAATAAGAAAGACGCCTTTAAAAAACATCACTATTGATATATTATACAGTAATATACAGTATAACAATAATAACAATAATAAAAATTTTTTTAAAATACATTTAGCATTTTTTTAAATTGATATTGAATAACTATTTATTATGTGTGTATAATTTATGATCGATTATTATCTAATTGTATATATACTTATAAATTATAAAATATATAGACATTTTACTCAAAGTTTAAATAAAGGGCCTGTCCGAATGCATGTCATGTACAATTTTACTTATCTCAATTTAATTTTTTTGTTTTCAAAGTTGAAAGTTAAACCAATTATTTAATTGAAATTATGTAATATTTTTCGTTTTGACAGGCTTAGGATTGGCAATAGCAACTTTGTATTATTGTGCCGAAAATGTTAAAAATGTTACTGCACAACTAATATTTCATACTCAATTTATTAATGTTTTAATTTTAAAACGATTGAAATATCATATACTGTTATTATGTTGGTTGTAGATATAAAATCTTCTAAATTCGTGTAAATAATGATATAAACAACGCACAATTAATTCGTAAAAATCCAAATTAATATATATATATATTTTTTTTAGCATGTAAGTAGTTTAGATACACTGAAATTACGGATACATTAGATATTTTTAATTTACCTGTTTTAAGGACGCAATTGAAACATAGGAAAGGTATATAATTATAAAAGGTTGAAAATCGAAATTGGACACAATCGGATAACGTCGGATTTTCCACATCCATCAATATGTAACACCAGCTCTGTAACATTTCCCATAAAACGTGAAAATTAGAAAATGTTATACAACTTCGTCACATTTCGAATGAAAAATAACATGTGATTTATCGCAAACTTCGCCGATATATGATGGAAGCGCTTGAATTATTTTGTGCATTTTATTCTATACTCTACATAGTGACAATATATTACAATATTATATAGTTCACCAAATGCAATCTTGCTTATATAATGCATATTACTACCTATATTATACAATTATATTGGCCTTCGTCGTCTAGATGAACTAGACAGCACGACGAAGGTGTTTATCAAACTGGACAATATTATAACGGTTGCTTAGTTTTGCAGACGTCTTTAACATAATATTAATACGATTTGAATTTATCGTGACATGTTTGAATATCTAATTTATTGTTATTGTCGATTTCGTATTGTGGGTGTAGTACTGTGTATTGTGAGGTTATGTTTTATTATTGTACATTAATCATAATAGTATCCATAATGGACTATATATTATTTGAACGGATAATTAAAAAATTGGTATGCTCAATGACGCCCATCGTTGTTCAACATTTGAAAAAAAAGAACACTCACGTTACTACTATTGTAAAATAGGTACCTATTATCATTTTCACGAAAGCTCCAAACTGCATTATATTAATTATAACGTGTCAACCTGTTTGAAAGCCGGTTAAATTTGCGATAACTACTGCACAATGACAACTCATATTAGTTTTTATATATTTTTTATTTAAATTTAAATTTTTTAATAGCATATCATGAGACGTGAGTCTTCATAATGGTTTCATAGTTTTCGATTAAATAACTAATGAATATAATTCTTTATTTAGGTACAATGGTATAAACTATAAATATATTATAGTCCTTACGAAATGTATAGTGAACTTATGATTAAAGATAAGTATTCATATTATAATTTTTTATGTCTAGACAGGTTTGCACTAACATTGTCTGCAGATGTATCAAACTCAAATTTAAAGTTTAATAAATACCAAAAACAATAAAAGAATATTGGTTTCTATAAAATAATCTTATACAATATACTATACTTATACAATCTTCCAAAATGTGACATAATTTGATTGTCGTTCAATATACACTTTTCATACATTATATGGGCACATATACATATTCAATTATGTATACCTAGATACAAAATTTATGAACACGTCAACAATAATATTACATACATTTACAGTGTAACAGTGGCGAAGTTTCATAGAAAATAATGAGACTACGTCTATACACACTTAAAATGTGGATAAATAATTTGGTTTTATTATGTTTAATTGAATAAAATAAATTTTTATTTTTTAAATTTTATATCATAACTCGTTATTATATTTTGTATAATATATATTTTAATATTTGTCATAATAATTTTTTTTTTTTGTGCCATATCGTTAAAGTATTCTTAAAATAGATTGTTGCGAAACGTATAGCATGCTGTCGTCTGTCGTGACATAGTGATCAGTGGGTAATTTTTTAAACATCCAAAATACAGTATAAAAATAATGAGATGTCGCGTTGCGTTTTGTTTATCTAAGCACAGTATGCAAGAGAAATAGGTTAGGTTAAGGATTGTGCTGTGGACTTGTCTCGCGGCTCATTTTAATATTATTTCATTTTATAATACATTATTAATAAATTGTTGACATTTCCCATGGCATATTATTGTCTACCGCGAACTTATTGTAGTAGTTACTATGCTTAGACTTTATTTTACGGTTTATTTATTAATGGTGTGATAGTTACCTATGTCTAATTACTTGCATATTCGTATGCATTTACTTATTTGTGTTCAAAGGACATAGCCCGTTAATTTTTAATAAATATATAATAATAAAATATTGTACTATTGTTATTTGTTATTATTTCCAACGATTTAATAAATTCAATTTTGAATGATGGAATACTAAATAGTAAGCTAGCTACACATATGAGAAAAATATGAAATAAAAAATAAAAGACCATGCCCTTTACTATATTTAACATTAGCTGACGAAAAATTGATTCTCAAATTTGTTTCTATAACCATTGAGAAATACATGTTTTTCTAACGAATTAGCTATTGACGCAACATTTATTGACAAAGTCATCGACTTATTTTTACAAATAAAAAATAGAGAAATCAATTTTACGTATCAATTAATACAAAAGTATTTATTCTTAAATTATTTTATGACATGTCCACATATTAATGTGGTTTGCATATAAAACATGAATGTCACATTTCATTTTGTTTTTTAAATATCTCTTGTACAATTATTTTTAAAAGTTGTAATATATTTCATTCTGTTTCTAGTTTTAAAACATATATTTTTGTAATAACATTTAAAGTAAAATAAGAGAGGAGATATAACATCATTTTTTTATTTAACGTTTTTCTGACCTATTAACTTTTGTCTCGCCATTGGTTTATACGTTTTAAAATGCTTTTAAACATTAACTGATGAATAAAAACCGCACATAATAATATGACGAGAAACGACAAAAATCTACTGCAATTTACTGTAGGCATTTTGATATTTAACTATGTCAACAGTTAATGGATATGTTATATAATATATTGACGTGTTGAATACGTTTTCAAATTGTTAAATAAAATATTATTTTCAAACAAAGTGTTTTATGATATCGTAATATTCATAACATTGTGTACAATTGAAAGAAACTCAATAGATATTACAAGTTACAACTATTGTCTCGTTTAGTATTTATTATAGTCTATAATAATATTTAACAATTTAAGAGTACTTTCAAATACCTTTTAAACGTATTTTATTTTTTTATTTTTATGTATACAAATCAGCTATATATAATATATATATATATATATACGTGCATTCTATTATGAATTGTAAGTGTTTTAATAAATATAATAGAGTTTTTCAAGTGTTTTATTTTATTTTTACAATGACATTTTGTCAGGTTGGGATACAAATACACAATAGACAATATATATAGTCTAATCCTTGGAATTAGGACTTTTCGTGGTTGTTATGGGAAGTTCAATACACTTGCGAAAACATGAAAACCCTGCATTATAAGTTAATATACAAGATACTGTCTGTTATATATTATATTGATTATTATGATCAATATTAATAAGTTTATTGTTTTAAGCTTATTTACACGTCACATAATAATATAATATAAAAAAATACCATAACATGTATAATATACTGCAATATATATGATACATGTGTATATTAAATAAATTATAATATGTCATATTATAAGACTTTATTTATAATTATTAATACTGTCAAAAGAAAACTTATTAACTTACATTTTGGAATTTGATAACATGTGATATTTTTCAATAAAATAAATAAAGAAAGTAGGTAGGTATATGGATCAAATTATAAAAATATTATTATTTTTTTTTTTAATATATTAATAATTGTAATAATTATTAATGAATATTCATTCGATTTTGGTCATAGAATTTACAATGTTATATACGGTCATCGAGATCAAAACCTTTTTTTTTCTTTTTATTTTACTCAGTATTGTTTATTCATAAATTACAATATCATTTAAATATTTTCATAATGTATACGATACGTTTTAGTTATTTATTCATAATTCTGTAACAAAAACATACACTGATCCTCTACACAAACTTTTTCAGTGAGATTCGGTAATTATTTGTTAGGAACCAAATTAAATAAATAATAATTATTATATGTAACATTTATGAATTTGATTTTTTAATTCTATTTCATTGACAAACCTCAGTTAATTAAAAATAAATGCGTACATAGTGAAATATTTTTTAGTTGAGATATTTAATCAATCTATAGAACTCCTATTTGTGTTAGTTATATAATCAACGTTATTATTTATATATAGAATACAAATTATGGTTAAACTGGTTAAAGTGTATACTATATATGCTTGTGGATTTGACTGTCTATGTAGATAATATTGTATTTCAATCGCGCATATCTTCATAGTTCATGGTCATTATTGAAATTATTGTACTTACTTAAAAAAAACTCTTCTTATTGTTGTATATGCATGTTTAAATTATAGGTACATACAATATAAAATATACACATACCTTTGGGTTAAAAATGAAGCAACAAAATTGTTGTTAACATACAAGATGTATATATATATATATATATATACTATATAATATATACTATAACGATACATCTTATTTTTTCCCTAGTAGTCACAAAATGTTTTATGCAGTACATCAATTCATTGGGAATTTAACACAGATAGTACAATTTACAAGAGGTCATGCTAAGAATTTCTCAGTAGCTCGATTGAGTATCGAGAATATCAATATTGTGATGAAAAAAATAAATATCGACGAGGATATTTATCATTTTTACTCAATATTTTAATTGGCACATCCAACTTTAGTACCTATCAGTTTTTTCCATAATTTGTTAAAATATGTATTATGTGATTATGAATATATTTTTGAATAAAATCAACAGCCAGTAGTTATTATAATATAGTTTAAAATTGAAAAAATACCTAGTTTAATGTAGTATAGTTTAAAATTGAAAAAATACATATTTTAATGTTAAAACATAGTAAATAAAACAAATATATAAACATTTATTTTATTTACTGCATCAAAATCCAATAATTTTTGCCAATTTTTATTCAAATATGCTTAAAACCATTATAAAATAAAATTTCATTCGTATATTTATTAACAAATGATTTTCAACTTATAATGAGGTGTAATATTTAATTGGAAAGTGATTAGTTATGTATATAATATTTGGGCACGGAAATTATAGGATTTGTACACTGTTCTGAAGTTTTAAAAATCAAAAATATTAATGTTTATTTTTTATATTTCATCAATTTTAAGAAAAAAATACGTAGTTTATTGACTTGTATAGTTGTATACACATATATTAAGCATATTTAATATTAACTAAAAAAAAAATAAATGAATCGTTTTTTATTTTTCTTAACCTATGTATTCTAGATAATATTAAACATAAAATTCAATATAACTTCATGTAAACATTTATTTTCATCATCGCAGTGGAATATTAATTTGACGACACCGGTTTAATTTGCATTAAACCTATATATCATATTAATATATGCCAAAATAACTATCTTATCATTGATAAGTTATCGATTTAACTTATGGTAAATCTATTTTTTATCCATTACCTAGTAAATTTAATTGTACACGATTGCCATTTTAGTATCTTATAGTAATTTTTTTAGCTAATTTTTCATTTCACTAAGATTATCAAAATACCAATCAATTGTCTGCCATACATGAAAAATTGTAAATTTATTTTTCGTTATTTTTACATTTGTTTTCGGGCATATTATTAACAACATAAAACATTTTTTTTTTGGAATTCTTTTTAATTTTTTTGCACATTTAACAATTTTCATGCATATTTCATAATTTTTTCGGGCATACATATATTTGCATGTACATCTTACTTAATTTAATTTTTATTACTTCCAAGCTATAAATCGATATAATTTAAGTAAGTTCTAGTTGTAGTTTAATACTTTTAAAATATAATTTTCACTAATGTAACTGATTATGAGGGTTACCGATCTAAGTATGATGTGCTGACATGCCGTAAGTGTGGATGTTCGCTGACGGTTGTGCTGATCATCGTGGAGTGTTCTCCACTGAAGTATTTCTATTCGTATCGCACACTCTCGCTAAGTACGCATTGGTCATTATTATGTATAACGACACGTGCTAGAAAACCTTAAGTCAGCAGTCAATCCCTCTTGCAATTCCTCACACTCAGTATATAAGCCGTTCCCTACCTTAGGAGCAATATACGATTTCGATAGACGGCAATCTTTATACTAATATTAATTCATATTTATCATTAAATAATAATATATCAGATATAAAACATATAAAAATAATTGAAGTGAAAATATAATATTTATTTACCAGTTTATAAACACACCATAAGTTATTATCATTATTTATAAATTTAAATTTTATAAAATTATAAACAATAAATAATTAAACTTTTAATATACGTTTACAAAATTATATCTAAGCGTAACTATAAGATTATAATAAGAATAAGGAGTTTAACTACAATAGCAAAAATATTAATAATACGCTAATTATAAATTATTTCATTTAAATTTTATATTATTATCAATACATTTAGTATTATCAAATAGTTTAATAAATAAATGTTTTATAATAACCCCCCCCCCCCTTATTTACTTAATGATTCTCCATTAAAACTGTTAAGTTGAATTAATTTTGTGTTGTCATTATTTTTCCCTTTTATCGTGCATTATAATATACTTGTATGTTCCTTCGTTAAATGCATGTTTAAATTAAATAAATTAAAAGTACACGTTTCGTTGTGCGTAAAATAGTTGTGTTGTATTACATGGTTATATATATGTAACATGTACTATAAAGCGGATGATTAAATTATACATAACAATTAACAACATTAATGTATATTTTTACGCGATTACGTAAAATGTATGGTTTTTAATCGTATAATTGTCGCAGTTCAATAGTAATAAATTATCTATCTGTATGTGTTGCATTGTTTATGGAAATAGATGCCATTGAAATCTGATTAAACGCAAAAAACTGTAGTAAAAGCGCTAGATACGCCAGAGTAGTAACAAATCCCTGCAGAATAAACGTGATCATAGCAATATTTATATTAAGTTGTAGATAAACGCTAATTATCAAAAACAAATACTTACAGCATAAAATAGTGACATATTGATGTTTAAAACACCAAATAATTCAAACTTGGATTTTATTGTATCAAGTTGGTGTTGAAATAGAATTATCTGAAATTATATTTTTATTTAAAAAACATTAATAATTGACATCATATCTTATAGGTATAAGCAAAATTAATGAAAAAAAAATTGTTAAAATTTGTTATATCTATGATTTTTTTTTTTTTTAAATCTGTTCTGTTCTCACTTCTAATTTTCACATTTATTATAAATCTAACACAGTAATATATGCATAACCTTTACTTAAAATAAGTCTGTTCACATAAACTCCGTTGGCTAATTTATATAAAATTATTAAAGTTTTTCGAGAACTTTTAATATTATTATCCTTCTACCGCAGAGCCGTCTGACAATATTCAATACTATAAAACTGTTTCCTCAATCCTCAAGTTTAATTAAAATGCATAATCATAACTATATTGTTGTTCAAGTCACTTTTCATCTTTTCACATATGACATATATTTTTTTTCTATTCAATTTATATTTTTTAATTTATATTTCTGCTATCTAATTTAAAAATATGGTTTAGAGTACCTACTTAGTTTCATATTCAATTTGTATACATATATTTTTACTTTTATTTTTGAAAGTAAATTAAAATTATAAAGGTGAAATTACAAGTTTAATGTTTAAATGAAAAACATAATATATGATCAATAAAGGGTATTACTTAAAGTAATTATCTGTAATTATTTTTGGTATATATCATATAGACAATAGTAATAAACATTACGCATTAAATGGGTTAATATTGATTTAAATACAACAGTAAAAAAATAAATAAATAAACTGTTAGTATTTAATTGATGGTAAGCATATATTTTTTCAATATTGAAGTAGATAACCTTTATTTATGATTTAATCAATACGTATAATATAATTATATGTGAAATCTAAAAACGCATACAATTGAATTAATTTTTTAGAAAACATGGTTTTTATTTTACCCGACGTTTGACTTTATTATTATATTATTATTGTTATTGTTATTTTTTTTTTTTTTTTGTTTACCTCAGGCATCAGTTTCCGGCTTGTAACTGGATTCAAAATCAATGAAAGTCAGCTAAGTGACAAACGTATTGGTAAAATCTGAACAGAGCAAAAAATAAACAAAAAAAATATGTTAAATGCATGCAATACCAAATTTATATATTATACCATATGATATACAACAGTATGACAGTAACTGGGAAAGTGTAGGTACGTGTACCTAATATTACTTTAATACTTGTAATATAACATATTATGTCTGACGTGCGCGTAATTAGTTTATTCACGCATTTTAAATTTACTTTAGTTCGATTATTTTTTCTTAAGGTTTACGTCGGAATTTTGGTTTTTGTGTTCTCTAATTATTCGTCCACGCGTTATCGAATTTATTTAGAGAACATTTTTTATTTGCGAAGTACAGTGTATATGTTACCGGCAATGTGTTGAATCCGGTATTATATAGAAATCCTAGGTATTCTATAGAATACTAAAAATGAGCAGGAAAAGTATAGAATGTAATACAATGACTAGGTATTCTATAAATCGCCTAACCTCAAGCAGGAAAAGTGTATATAATAATTAATATAAAACTTAGATTTGTACCTATATAGTGGTGTACCTCTGTAATCAACAATATTATTATGTCATCGCATACAACACGTGTGCGATGTATTATCGATTATCGTTATTATTAGCTAATCATATTATCAATGCTATTCGTGTATACGGAAAAATTCAATGTACGCCTTTAAAAATATTATTTCTTTTCGCTTTTGTAAAGATACATTAAAATGTCTCAACTTCGTTATGTTGAACTAAAGAAAAGATGAAAAGAGTCGAAAGTTACTGTTGATTTATCGAATGATAAATTGAAAATGTCAATAAATAAAAAAAAATGCTTATGTGTAAAAAATAATATTTTATGTAGTCATAAATGTCGTGCATCAACTATATGCTGCAGTAAATAAATAAAAATAAATATAATAAACATATTTTGATTTAACACATTAACCTGACATAGTATAGGCGTTTTATAGAATCCTAGGAATCGTATAAAATACCTAGGCATAATATTAATTATTACCATTCGAATTTATTACCTACATTGGCAAATAGTTCAAAAAGAATCCTGCAGAATTCCTAGGGAATTTATCGAGTGCCTAAATCCAATACTTTTCCGGTAACACATTATACAACTGTATAAGTGTACCTATAGGTACAATACACGAATAACGAACTTATCTGTAATAAACCCTGTAAATCATGCTCGTTCGTCCGGACAGTATATATTCGTTAAATTTAACCACTCGCCCTACCACACACACACACACACACACACACCTTTTTGGTCACGTAATGTTCGCACAGGTACAGGTACCAGAGCCGGACGATCCGGATGACGCAGTAACCCGACCACATGGCGGTGTTCGAGTAATTCACGTGTTTCTTCTTCTCCCATATGACGATGGTCACGTCGAACGCGATACCGTACATGTAGACGACGATGCGGAACACGCAGTCGAACATGCACAGCGACAGCGGCAACTGGAACAGCCGGTTGATGCGGGCGAACAGTTCCATGCACGCGCGGTGCACGGCCCGCAGGTCGCGTATGTCGGCCGCGCTGAACGCCGGTATCCCCGCCAGCCGGCCGGCCGCCGGTCTGTCGCCGCCGGCCACGGACGCCCAGCAGCACCTCCACCGGGGGTGCTCGGCCTTGTGCACGAGGGTCTCGATGTCGTCGTGCAGCGCGCGGAGCCGGAGGTACAGCGACACGCACATCAGGTAGAAGAACTGCTCGACGACGACGCACGTGATGTTCGACAGCGGCGGGAACAGACAGATCAGCTTGGCCGAGCTGAACGTGAACCTGTATAGCAGTGCGTTACAAACACAGATAAGACGACCGCGAATTCGTTGTTGCAATGCAACACGAAAAAATATACGCGCGTAAAAAAAAAAAATAAAATAAATATTCGAACCGATGTTTATGAGACTCGAAACGCGGATAAGGAACTGTGTGTGATGAATAATTTGGCGAGAGGACATTTTTTTTAAATTTGAAATCCGACTAGACTTTAGACGTCTTGTTCGTTTCCAAAATATTGAAATGGATACGACATTCTGATTGGACTTTTGTGCTTTTTTTATCAGCTAGCGAGGACTGTGTTGCAGAGAAATAAGAACAAGAAAATAATAATCGTGCGACAGATGAACATTTTTTAACACATATAGGTAGGTAATCAGTAAAATACAAACATTTACGTTGTACGCGCGCCAAAACATAACTTTTATTAATATGTTATGTGGATTTCATAATACAATAATTAATGTGTATTCGGATATTTCAAGACCAGGCGTACTGGGGCGCACGTTATTATAAAGTTATAAAGACTAAGATAAAGTAATTTTCGCTGCAGTGAATTTAAACCGAGTACAAATACAGTTTAAACAAAACCAAGAATTATTGTTAGTGCCTGAAGGCAAAATGATATTACACATATACAGATATATTTACATACGTATTGTTTCATGTCTTATTATTGTTGTTATTAAACATTATTCATATCGTTATATTTGCGTATATTGTTACTTGACACGTATTGGGTTTACGCCTCTACCTAATGGTTGAAGTAGGCGAGGGGTATATCACCTCGCTAGACCCATTATTTAAATAATCTACTTTTGTTTCGAATTAGCGCATAGCTCGCTGACATATCTCATTTTGATAATATATTAAAATATTATTACTGCGGCAATTTTCGTAAAAAAATAGCAATAAACAAAAAATATGATACGGTCATATAAGTAATTTTTTTAAGGAAGAAATTCATCTATGTTTATAGCTGCATTTACAAAGTTTTAATATCCATCACACTTGTTTTGTGCCTTTTCGACCGCTGGTTATATGATTATATTATGTAAATAATGTTAAAAACATAAAATATTTAAGAATAATTCTATAGCAAATACAGGGTATTCCAGTAAAACAGAAAAATATAAATAGCTCTCAAACAAATAAAAAAAAAATGTATTTACAAATGGTTTTAATGAAAACAAGAACTGTATTATAATTTATTAAGATCCCAAAAGTTGAAAATCTAATGTCTATAAGATGGTGTCTGTTCGTATACATTAAACTAATCTAATTAAACGTAATTACTTTTTTGTAAAATGCCTCAACAGCAAATGTACGATTCCAGGTAAAAAAAAAAAAAAAAAAAATGAAATAAAATCTGCGATAACTAGTAAAGCGAATTAATGATAACGATAAAGTTAATTATGACATTTGCAAAAAATCAAATACCAAAATATCGAAAATAACATTTTTTTATAACATTTCGGGTGTTGCATTAGAACTCAGAGTAAAACTTACCATTTATATTTTAATTTATATAGTTCGAAAAATGTATTATTATTTTTCAAATTAGTCGTTCCATTATTATCAATAACTGTGCATCCATATTAAATGCAGCATAAATTCAATTAAAAATTTTCGATACCATACAACCGAATGATTGTCTACCTATTTTGTTTGTTTTATGTAGGTATATTTATAAATTATATGAATACGTGTATATATAAATTTGAAAAAAATATATTAAGTTATGATCTTAACGATATATAACATGCATTATATTTGTGGCGCAGCTTACAATTTCAATGTTAAATGTTAATAATAAAAATTGTACTACTCAACTGACCATATTTTTATTTAAAGGTAGAAATACATTTTTCGCTATTTGGCATTAGCTTTTTTTTGTGTAAATCACTATTATTATGACGTTTTTGCTCATTTTATTTCGCTTTTTTTGCTCTCACTCTTATGACCGAATACTCAATGGCACACATTTTAATATGAACCGACCACGCCGGTCCACGATAACTCTATAAATGGCAGTTGATCGAGTTAACGAAAATACCACCGTTCACCCATTCAAAATCTACAGCTGTATAGTCTGCCAACACTATACATTCAAAATTTTCCGTTTTCGCGGAAAACTCTGCAGTGTTTGCACGAGACGTGTGACGGCCGACGACCATCTCTGGGCAGCGGACAAACTTACTTGTACGTGATCATGACGAAGTACATGGCGAATTCGTAGGCGACGAACAAGACGACGGCGTACGCGGAGACGTGCTGCCAGACGCCGGTGACGTGGTCCAGCCGGCACAGATCGAAGAAGCACTCGTTGGTGGCGCGGAGGACGGGCGGCCACAGCATGTGGGCCTGGCACGTGGCGGTGGCCGCGATCCCGGCGAACATCATGTAAACGAACAGCTCGTCGATGTCCAGCACCCGGGTGTCCAGCAGCTTCTTGGCCATCTTCCGGTAGTTGTCCAGGTTCCGCATGGACACCACGCACACGATCAGCGACACCAGCCAGTAGAGCGCCGTGTGGAACGCCTTGAGCGCCACGCCGGGCCAGTGGACACGGAACCGCCGGGGCGGCGGGCCTGGGGTCCGGGCGACCGGAAATACGCCGAACAGGTAGGCGCAGACGTGCAGCGGCCGGTGAAGTTTCATGGTGCACGCGCGCGGTTCGTCCGGCCGTTGCGAGTTACCTGCAGCTATAGTGAATCGCTTTAACTCCGCGCGCAGAGCGTTAATTGCGCGTGTAGTGTGGTACGTCGTCGCCAACGTCCAATCGTACGACACGTTTTGTGTGCGTGTGGTCGTAACACGCACGCGCACGAATCACAAAAAAAAAAAAAAAATGATAAAAATAATAATAATAATTAACTGTCACAATAAATGCCGTATAATTATTATAATAATAATATTAGTGTAGAGATACTGTAATTATATTGTCGCCGCATTTCCTATCATCGCGAAGTCCGTGTGCCAGGGTTTTCTGATTGTCGTCTGTTCGTATATATAACTGGTGCAGTGTAGGTATTAGTTAATTATATTCAATCGTGATGACTATTTTCTTATTTTCCATGATCAATGTCAACCATAATAAATACCTACAAAAAAAAAAAAAAAAATTATTCGATTTCCGTTTGAAGAAGCAAAATACATGTGTGAGCTTATTTTTAAGAGACACTTTTTCTTAAAAATCATTTATTATTGCACCCCTACACTTTGGTACAAGGTATACCATGAACGTTTTAAACAGTTTTAGCTGTACGTTAACTAGTTAGTCATGCCAACATCTTCTTTATATCGTATAGAGATAATTAATCATAACTGTACAGTATAGTGTGCAATTCATATTATACAATTTAAACAAAAACAAAAATACATAGAAAATATTGAAAGTACCAAGGTTCTACAATAGGTATTTAAATATTCCATATAAATTTCGATGAATATTTAAGGGTAATCAAAATAAAATTTACTACCTCCAATTATTATTAAAAGATTATTAGAGCAGTTGAAAATGTAATATTCATCGGATAGATAAAAATTTTAAAAATGTTTACACATGTTCAAAAATGTAATATTATTTTATGTGACATGATAAGCGTTAAGTACATCATACAAATTGATTCCATTGGAGCACAGCATACTCGCACTTACGCATTGTATATTGTAAGGCTATTCATACTAAAGACCACAATTGTCATTTTTTTTTTATTTATTAGGAAAACTATATATTCCTACCTACATAACAATATATGGTTGACTTATAGAAAAATAACCTAGTTATTTATATTATTTTTATTTTTAATAATTGCGCAAGTTGTATGTTTTAATCTTAAAACTGGAGAAAAATATTTTCAAAAAACGATAATGTATAACAGATAAAATATTCTGTATAATTTAATGTTATGGTATTTTTATTTTATTAATACGTAAATCAAGTGTCAATAAATGAGATAAAATGCAAAGAATATCTCGCACAAGAGTATAGAGGTCCAATGAGACTCTAAAATCTATTTGATACATTATTTTAAAAATCAACAATTATTGTAGAAAAATGTTCCGAGTGAAAAGATATGCATGTACTGTAATTAATAAATTGTAAATACCTTAAAAATCACTGTGATCATAAATAATAATATATGTAATATAAACTATAATATGCGGTAGTATATTGTAAATATTAATAGTATTTCAGAGATAAAAACTTAAAATTAGGTAAGCACAATTGAAAAAAAAACAACTCAATAATTGAATAATAATCAATATAATGTAACCCAGCTCTAAACGGATTACCAAGTAATACCAAGTCGTTTTGAAAGTACAAATGCATATCATAATAATAAAATATTTTGAAATAATATCTAAAATCAGTAATATTCAAATAGACTTGTACTCGCCATGCATAATACTGCAACGGTCAGGCTTTTAACGTGACCTAAAAACATTGTCTTTGTCATAGTCATCGTGATGGTGTTTTTGTTGTTTTTTTTGATTTTTATTGTAACGTATTATTAGTGTTGTATACGATTCAGATCCCGCATCGAATAATGTTTTTTTTTTTTGCGGCAAATAATAAAAAAAGACCGCCCCACAACCGAAACGAGGCGTTTTATAGCGACAGAGAACAATTTTTTATGGCGTTTTCTTTTGAATCACCAATTTAATAAAATAGGTTTTTTCGGTCCTGGTCCATAAAATACTCGATATAAACGAATTGAAATAGATAATAACACATATATTCTAACTTGTTTAATATATACATTATATATTATACAATATATATAATACTTATATGTTCAATCCATTTTTTCTTCAATAATAAGTAATAATTTTAAATATACTTAGAAACCAAATTTTCAAATGTTTGAGATTTCTTGTACCACTTAAGGATTGTCTTTTAGAAATACAAACTTTTGTTTATCAAATGATAGCTCTCCTCCCTCCCCATTTTAAACAATTAACAACTTAATAGATATTTATACTTTTTATTAAAAGTATTTGGAATACATTTAAAATATTTTCTAAAATATTTTATCTATATAAATATAATTTTAGAAGTTTAATTTAAAACGTTCGATTCAATTCAAATATTTTATTTTATACCAGCTATCTTTCTTAATCATAGCTGAAAATTCTAAAATCTAATGATTTGGAGTCAGCTCAGTGTATGATGTATAATAATAATATATGTTAAAAATTAGATGATAATGTTTAATACACCAGATAATGTTTTAACATTAACTGTGCACATTTTTAATAATATATATAATGTTAATTGTTAACTATCTGCATTGTAGGTGCAGGATAGGTAATATTAAATTTTTAAATTTTATATATTCCCGCCATTGTTTAACCCATTTGTATCTTGTATCCTATATTATATTAATAGATTTAGAGATAAATATATGACATATATAAAATTGATGGGCATAGAATATAAAATGAATGCGTTTTCGATAGCGACGTAATGTTATATTACTATAATTATAGTTAATAAGTAGGATTTACTACAAATTCTCTTATGGATTCTATTAATAAAATCAATAGAGAAAAAACCTAAAAAATTTTTTAATAAATACAATTGAGACCAAAAGATTACAAAAATGGAAACGATGACAAAAATAACAGCAAAAAATACTCAAGAGTCAAGAGGTAAACAAATTAAAACAATTTACATATATGCTGAGTGCTGACTTCAGAAGTATATGTCTATCAACAGAGTTTCTATTACATATTTTAATTTAAAGTTTTGATGAATTCATATATCTTTGTTTAAAATAGGTATACAACTGCACTTTTTTTCTTTGAATTATCGAGAAAATATTTGAATACCACGACCACATGTTTCATACAACTTAGATTAGTTTTTAAAGAGAGTTTGTTTCAGTTTGACATTTCATTAAATACGAAATTTCAATATTATAATTACTTTTTAACTATATCTTTCAACTGTACACTATTTGAATTACGCGTAAGGTATATTCAATATACTGAAAACAATACATTTAAACAATAAACTGTTTGTGCACGGAATTTGTTTAATTTTTTTAATGAATGTTATTATAGTATACTTTTAAGGTATCAGTTTATTTAAACGAAACAAAATATTATTTTAAGTTTAAAGAACAATTACGTCGACAGTTGGGTTCTTACGTTAATATGATTCAATGTTACAGAAATATGAGTAATATGACGAGAGTTATAAAATATTTAATAGTATTATACTATTATAGTGTATCATACAATATGTTGTTATGGGTAGGTACTATTGTAGTGTCTTGACATTTTAAAAGTATTTAAATACAACATACTACTAAAACAGCGCAAACCTAAATAATTTAATAAACCTATAATATATTTTCATTGGTTTTATAGCGTTCATATTTGAAATAAAACAATAATAAATTATAAAAATTTATTTTATGTTGTAATTTCGCAATTATAATATGCCTATATATGTAAATAATTGAAAATAATATAAGTAGATTACGTACACCGAACCCGAAGAACAAATGGTAACTCATACACACACATTTGCATTCCGTTATATTTGTTTATTTATTTTTATATAATAATAATTATTGTCATTGTTGATTACATAACGACGCATTATTGTCCATCGCCCGCACATTAAGTGCGCGGTATAAATGTTTAACACGACCGCCGTAATTTATTTTCCTTTGTCCTTATAATATTATTATTATTATTATCGTACAAGTTTCCTTATCTAGTCCACAAATCTCGGCGTTGTCGAACCGTCTTCTGTGACGGTTGTTTGCACATTAATAGTATACAATAATACAATATTGATCCTTTTTTTATTCAACGAGTGCGCCGATCGTATTTTGCTTTTCATGTTTGTGTGTGTGCTAATCGCCACATAAATTTTATTATATTTTTTTTATTGGTACGAATCGCCACTTTTTTATAACATATTTTTATATTTAATACCGTATGCTACAGTTTTTGTTTTATTGTATAGGCGCTAATCGCCACTATTTGTTTGTATATCATATGTGCGCGAATCGCCACATTTTTGCATAATATATCCATTTTTATTATATATTGTTGTCTTAAGGACTTATCTATTTTACCCTTTGAATATTTTATATTGTTATTTAGACAAAGGTAGTAGTTGGCCCGTCTGTGATCCATAAATCATGAGTTATTATTATTATTTTTATTTATTAATTATTACATATCGATATCTTTATATAGTATATTTGTAGGTACTCTGTTGGGCTAAAAAGGCCGTAATTATTTATACTATATTTAACATTGAGTTACCTTTTTTTCATTCGATTTATCTATCTGTCACTAGTTTCAAGTTTACGCACATACATAGGTACAATGTACATACACACTTATATGCAAGACACATATTATACAACAAGCATAGATAATGCTCGATAGTATTTGCCCGACAATCTCGACCACTGCTGTTTGAACTATTACAACACTACACAACCAGCTATTCCTTCATATTTTCGGGATTGGTAAATTGGGTCCCAAATGACCTTATCTCGGTAAATTGGGTCCCGGAAAAAAAAGGTTGTAGGTAAATTGAGTCCCGGATAAAAAAAGGTATTAAGTAAGTTAAGTCCCGGAAAAAAGTATATAAATTAAAATGTATGTGGTTTTTATAATATTATGTTCTCAATAAATAATATATG